ACTTGTGTCACAGGTGGGATCCCATGTTCATTACCTCTACAGCAGTAGCACGATGTCACAGCACTGGCATCCTTCGGCACTGCTTCCTACTCCTGCCTTCTCTCCCCTCCAGGATCCAAGGATTCCTCTCCTTGCAGTTCCGTTATTCTGTCGTCTAGCCCTAAATCAAGCCAGACTGGCTTATGTACTCATGAAGCAGCAGTTCCTGGCTAGGGACATTTGTTGTTGTCTGCAGACCATTTTGCTTGTTGAGACTGGGGTAAGGGGTGCCACAGGATCTCACGGGCAGAGGCCAGGGTGCTGTCACCCTGCCCACATTACACACAACAGCCCTGCATGAAGAATTACCTGGCCTAGAGCATCAGCAGAGGCCAGGAAACCCTGCTTCATAGCAGGTCTTGTCCCCTGATCCAAACCCCCACAGGTCATTTTTCTTCAGTTGCCACAGCTGTTCTTAGGGCTGGCTCCTTCTCCGTGTGAAGTCTCCAGTTCTTTGGAAAACCCTGTCGGGAGTTGTCACAATTGCATTAAGCTTCTGGACTGACAAGCCGCCAGCTGGCCTCTGGGGCTGGGTTTCTGAGCTGTCGTGCGTTACTCCCGAGGGCTGGAAGATGCCGCTTGGGACCAGTGGCTGCTGTCTGAAGAGCTGCTCTCCTGGAGGCTGCCGGAGTTTCTGTTCATGCTGGCACGTGTAGTTTTCAAACCCATTACCATAACGTTGTCCACAGAATGACTTGCTGTGTGCTTCGGTTAAGTATTCTTCCCTCAGGTGCCAGGCTTTTGGTTGTTCCTTGCTGTTTCATTCACTTTTCCTCTTCAGTTTTCTTTGAATATGTATGTTTGATATTTTGTGTTCTCTTCTGCTAAGGGATTCAAAGCTATGAATTTGTTAAGGTACCATTTTAGCTGAACTCCACAAGTTTTTGTAATGAATAGTATCTGAGTATTTAAATTTTTCATTAAGATGCCTTGTTTTGTAAACTGTGGTTTTAAATAATACTTGGGAAAACTTAGTAAACTTTACTGATTTCTAATTCAATCCCATTATGCTTGGAGGGTGGGTTTTCCCCCCTTACTAATTTTAGGCCAGCTAATGTCAGTCATCAAAGAGGTAGGTTAACACCCCACCGTGGATATTGTTTTCATTGTTGTTTTGCCACCTTTTATTTTAAAAACAGCCAAAAACAGTTATGCAGAAGTTCTGAATAATCATCTGGATAAAATCAGTCTTAAGGGGCTGGTGATTTAGTTCAGTGGTTCCGTCGCTTGCCTTGCAAGCGCAAGGACCCGAGTTCGATAACCGGTACCAAAAAAAAAAAAAAAATCAGTCTTAAAAGTTCTGCTCTTTACTCAACACTGTTTTTGCTTCCCCCTTAAAATATCCCATCCCACGTTTTTTCTTAATGTAGCTCTTACCATTTTTTTTTTTTCTTAATTAGTCCTCCAACCTTTCTCCTTTTACTGGCAGGTTCCGTTCATTTGCGGGTACTGGTTACTGACATACCTGGTTTCCTTGCCTTTGGTGGTATTTTCCTGAGCTTCTTAGTCCAATTTTTCTTCCTCTTTTTTTAACAGTTAACACTCCTGACCTTTTAGGAAGACAGCCGGGGCAGATAGTGGAGGCTCTGTCCCTTGCAAAACTGAAGTCAAAGCACTGGGCAAAAAGCCAGAAAGGCCAGATTGAAAGGCTTCCATAGCCACAAGGCCCAAACCTGGCCACTAGGCCGTCTTCATGCCCCCAGTCAGCCTGGGTGACCAGGGACTGGTGAGGGCCTCCACCTGGTGCCCTTGCAGAGATGAGATGCTGACAGCCATGAGGTCTTGGCCAACATCCCCAGGCAGAGCAGGTCAGTATGGACTGGCTCCTGCCTGCTGAGACCATGGAAACTGCAAGCTCTGCTCTTTACCTTAAAAAAGAAATTACATTCTCATCACACTACTGTAGGGAATGACAGAGGCCCCATCAGCCCTCCGAGCACCCCCTCCCTCCTGCCCTCCTGGCACTGCACAGCCGTCTAATTACTCCCCACCGTGCCTTCCTCATTCCAAGTTTTGTTTACTCACGAATTTACAAGTCTTTTCACTTAACATTCTTGCACTTAGCTCTTCGCCCTGGGACTGATTGTGTTTTGAATGTATTTTACTTTCTAAATCTGGGTCCCAAGTCTTTATTTTGAAAAATGATTGACCTCTCTGTATATAATTGCTCCTCTATTCTCTTCTTCTGGACCTGGGAACATGGTAAGCCTTTGCATCTTTTTATTTCTGTGCTGTACTGTAAAGGAAATTAGTCGCTGTCATCTAGTTCATTAATTTTGTTTGGTCTGCTGTGATTGAATTTTCTGTTACTTGGCCCATTTCAGATGCCCGGTCTGACATTCGCTTGTGTTTTGCTCCCAGCTTTAATTTGCTGACACTCCACAGGCTCAGTGAAGGTCTTGGGAGAGGATGACAGCACAGTCCTTACCAATCACCCCACTAGTAGGCAGTGGTTTCCTTGTGTGTGAGTTCTGGCTTGGGTAGGGTGTTGGTTTTGAACTGGGAGTTTATGTTCTTGTGAGACCTAGGGATAAGGAGAAGAGTTTCCAGGAACACCTTGCATCTGCTTCAGCCAGGCATTCTCACGCCTGGAAGGATTTACTGGCTCGTGGTTCTCTGGACCCTAAAGGAAGCTGGCATGCGAACTCCAGATGTGGTGAGCATGGCTCCTCCTCCCCGGTCTGTCTGCCCCACAGGAGGCTCTGGTCCCACTAGCCGCCTGCAGAAGTGCGCGCCTTTTCTGCTTCTGATCAAAGGCTACCTTGTCAGGACTGAGAAACGTCCGAGGGGCAGTGAGAAAGCCCCTAGAATTAGAGAGCCACGCCTGCCCGGAGAGGCGGCTGCTCCCTCTGTGCAGGTGCAATGAAGCGGCCTCCACATGACGCCTACACCTGCAGAGGGCATCTCTTAGAGGTGACTTGGGACAGGTTTGAACCAGACTCTGCCACTCTGCTACGTGGAATCGGCCTGATGCCAGTGAAATGCACCTGTTGAGTGTTGTGTTGCACCTCTGTCCGCAGAGCCCATGGGCAGCATGTCATCCATGGAGGTGAATGTGGACATGTTGGAGCAGATGGACCTCATGGACATCTCTGACCAGGAGGCCCTGGATGTCTTCCTGAATTCAGGTGGCGAGGAGAACACCGAGCTGTCCCCTGGTCTAGGTAGGAGTCCACAAATCTGCATGAATGAAGCCAGGTCTTAGCAACATTTCTCACATTTGAGCAGATACCATGTAGAGCTCTCTCAGCTCAACTTCTCCTGCCAACTCTCTCCTCACTCCTGTGCCCCTCAGGGGCTGCAGAAAGCAGAGCATTCCTACTGTCTCCACTCCTCTGCCCCAAAGGTTGATTCCAGCGGGGCCTGGCAGGACTCTCCTGCATGGCTCAGTCTGTGGCTTTGTCTTCGTGAAGCTCCTCTATCTTCCCCTGGCAGACACTGGGTGGAACTGCACTGGGCCAAGGCCTAGTATGTCCTCGGAACTCCTCAGCCCTGTGGCCATCGAACTCCCATCTTGTGCCCTCCCAAAATGGTCTCCTATTCAGTCAGCAAGTGTTTCCTGAGGCACCACGCTGGGCCGAGCCTCCATACATTTTAAATTCCAGACTTCCGGCGGTCTCTCTGGAGCAACCTAAGCCGAGCCTGTGAATTGCTTCCAGTACATGAGAAAAGAAGGACTAAGCTCAGGCCTTCTGGTGCCACCTCAAAAAAAGTCCCCATTGCTAGGCCCTGACCTCTCATCTCTTGTCTGGCACATCTGTGAGATGGTGTCTTTCCAGGTGTGCTGTCCTGTCCTGCACAGGCTGGGGCACTGGTGACAGGAAGTGAGGCTGGTCCCTCTCTGGGGGCAGGGAGAGAGACAGCAGCAGTAACTGCATGTCATCCTCATTCCAGGAAGAAACTTTAGTTCCCATAAGATTGGAGAATGGCCGTCAAGTCACCAGTTCCAGCTGTGGCTTCACACTGGAATCAGTCACTTCCGCAGGGGCTGCAATACTTGTCCGAACACAGCTCCTGGATGTTGTTTTCAAAGGTGCTTGCGCTCTCATCTGTCACGTGTGGCTGGTCCAGGGAGGGCCCGGGCCCAGCCAGCTCAGGGCACACAGCAGCAGCAGGTCCTCAGCACGGCACCAGGCACGGCCCCCACCTACAATCTTTTGCTGATCTTTTTTTTTCCCCATTTCACAGGGCCTGGATCTGAAACCTGCCAGAATGAACTCACTCTTCAGGTTCCAGACCCCACCGAATTACCTCCCAAGCCACCTTCCTCCCCCTCTGCCTGCACCGGCGCTGCAGCCCAGGATGCCGAGGGTGAGGACGGCCCCCTAGTCCAGGCAGATGAGGAGGAGGTGCAGGCGGACACTGCCCTGGCTACCTTCCACACCGACGGCGAGGCCAAGGCTGGCGTCAGTGGGGACAGCGACTCAAGTCAAGATGTTTGAGGGGAGCGTTCCTCGGCTTTACAGGTGCCAGTGACGTGTGAGTGGCTGAGAAGAGCTCACAATAAAGCTTGAGGACTCTAAACCCAGGGCGTTCGTAGCTGCTTTGTACACAGGCCCTGAGGCCAGCATGAGTACACAGGGGGTTCCTGTGAGCGCTGGGAAGGGGCACTCGGGCCACCTTCCTGAGTGGCTGTGAGGGCGGGCCAGGCACGGTGGCTGTGCAGAGTGAACCAGGGAGCAAACCCTGCCTCAGCAAAACGGGTGCTCGGGCTCACCCTGCCCGAGCTTGGCTTTCCATGTGACCCGGACCCCCGTACCAGCTGAACAGCCCACAGAGGACGCCCAGCCCCTTCCATGCACTCATCTTCCACAAGACAGACAAATGTCCAAAAAACTTTGTTTTTATTATTAAACCTTGTAGTACAAACCTGAAAAGTAAACAAAAAACTGGCAATAAACCACATGAAGTCTTCCCTCTCAAGGGAGGGGTGCAGAGCAGCGCTAATAAATTAAATGTCAAACTGTAAGCCATAGGCGGAAGTTTACTGTCAAAAAGAGGGAAAAGTACACAGCAAGGCCATAAAAACCGGACAACCACATTGGAAAACACTCGACTGTTTATGTAACTGTTAAATATTCCAGAACAGTTCAGTCTTCTGCAACACCAACCAACAAAGTGGATCCTAGGACGTTCCTGGCCGTCACCACCGGCAAGCTCAGTGCAGCGTGGGTAGCTACGGGGTCGATAGGTCCAAATATGAAACAAAGAACAGCTTGTGAAAAGTTTCCCTTTTTTATTCCACACATACTGTACACACAACCAGAGAAGGGCAACAGCTACTCCATTATTATTCTGGTGTTGTTGTTCAGTGATGTAAGCAGCACTTATAAACGTTACAAGAAAACCCTGTAAGCATCCATTCCACCCGATGAAGAAACTGAAGTGTAAGGCTTTTCTTCATCTCGTCTTCTCACCCTCCCTCCCCCCTCCAAGAAAAGGCTCAAGTATTTAAAACAATTTACAGGCGTATGTACAAAGGGGTTGGGATTTTTTTTCTTTTTTTTACTTTTTGTTACAACATGGACAGAAAAAATAGAAAAGATGAGCACAAATGCATTTTCACATTCAAAAAGAACTGCAGACTTCCCAGTGGCTCTAAATGTGATCATAAACAAAACATTTTTAAAACAGATTAATGCTGACTTGTGGAGGTGTGAAACAAACAGTGAGATGAAGATGGAATGTTAGAAAGATTGCACGTCGGTGACAAAGAAGCACTTGTGGCTTCAATCATTGTTTTCCTTAAGGATGCTATTGAAGGGTTTTTTGATAAAGTAGCCAACAGCACCAAAAATTAACAGAATGGATTTCCTGATGAAATCAGGCACAGGTCTCCGTCAGGGACCCTCCAAGCAGGCAGTCTGTCTCCGTCCTCCCGATGCATAGTGATTCAGCTGGTCACGAGAACCTGGTCACGCCAACCTCCGCCTTCAGCTGCCATAGCCGCCCACGAACCAAAACGGGCCTCTCCGGTTTGAAAATACGAACTCATCTCACTTGACAGAGGAAAGACAGCCACAGTAAAGCCATTTCTTTTCAAGTTTTCGTGTGTGTGTGCGTGTGTGTGTGTGTGTGTGTGTCTCCTATCCCTTTTCTGATCTAGAAAAATCTGCTCACGTGACTTGATGGATTTAAAATTTGTTCTCCAAACTTCACCCTCTTCAAAAATGGGTTTAAAAGCCTTTTTCCCCCAACAGTTACAAAAAAAGACAAAAAACAAAAACAAAAAAACAAAAAAGGGCTTTTGTCAGCCATATAGGGCAATACAAAGTAATACAGCCCCGCAAGGGTTTTTAAAACAGTGAATATACGGCAGTTTCAAAAATCTGACTGCAGTGTCTAGGTATTCTAAGTACAAAAAAAAGTTCCATCAGTTTAATGCTAAAACAAAATTAGTTCTCTAAAACCAGAAGAAAATCTTCTTTAGAGCTAGTGCAAAGACAGCTTGTATCCTACAGCAAGTACTCCAAACTAGAATATAATAATTACAAATATATCTATATAAATCGACCATGGGGTTGGCGTCTTCATGATGAGCTCGAAGCACTTTTGGAGGAACCAGAGGCTGACAGCCGGGATGGCGGCACGTCCACAGTTGCTCTCTTTCGGGGGCCTCGTTTTGGTGTGGGTTTACTGAGACAGTTCTCAATGCTGCCGTTCTTGCCAGATACTTTGCCACAGATCTGATTGACGAGACTGATGATCTGCTCCTGCCAGGGTTGAAGAAGACAGAGTTAGTGCAGCACGGAGCGCCCCGAGGTCACCTGGAGCAGAGTGCAGGGTGGCAAGCCCCACCACCGAGCCCAGTGCCTGAGATTTCTAAGCCTGTGTGGCACATGAGCAGTCCCCGGGCTTAGCAGCAGCAGCAGGCTTGAGATCTGCCAATGACAGCGCCTCGGGAGGCACCAAAATGCCGTTCACCAGGCAAAGGCCATCTGGGCGCTCATGCGCCCCCTTGAGCCAGTGAGGGCCCGGGCCTCCCTGCTGGCTCTGAGGGCAAAGACATCAATCAGGACAGAAAACCTAAGTCCCACAGCTGCACCCAGGAGCACGGACTGCTTCGTGACAACAGTGCTCAGGCGTGGTCTGCACTTGGCTGAGGCCCTGGGGTTCCTGCACAGACAGCAGTGCGGCCCCTCTGCCAGCCTCTTCCTGGGGCGCGCAGCCGCTGCAGCCTCATGACCATCCGGAGAGCGGCCAAGAAGCCCGGCTCGGCTCTGCTCACCACCTCCTCACAGTGAGGCAGGTGGCGGGCACCCACACCACACATGGCTCACCCTGCACTCGCAAACACACACTTGCCAGTGTGGTGGTACACGCCCCAATCCAGCAGAGAGAGGCTGATGCAAGAGGGTCTCGCCAAGTTCAAGGTCAGCCCGAACTGCATAGTGAGGCCCTGTCTCCAACAACAGAAAATGCAAACACTGGTTTGGCTGTGGCAATCTCTGCAGTGAACAGGAGGCCAGCAACACCTCACTGCTGTCCTTCCCCGAGAGAATCATTTACCTGTTAGAAGTAAAACATAACAAGCTCATCCTTTGCCCACCTGTCCCCTGTTAAAGCAGTGGAAAGAGAAACAAAGTGCACAAAGTCCCCAGTTCAAGAAATTTAAAGACTCCACACACCGAAACCAAGCATCAGATGCTGTCGAATCTCCAGGCCTAGGGGAGCTCGGCCCCCAGCTGCAGCACAGCTGGTGGGGAGCTTTGCAGGTGTCCTGATGAGGCCGGCCAGCGCCAGCCTCCAGGGCCATTCCTACTCAGGCCCAAAGGCTATTTTTAAGCATATTCTGACATTTGCTGCTAACGCAAAGTATCAGGGACAATAGCAAAGGGGTGTCGCTGTCACTGAAGATGCTCTTTAAAACAAAAAGAGATCTAAGCAGACCCATTTTCAACTTTCCTATCTTAGCCAAAGCCTGTCTGACCTCCTTCCTACTTGGAGACCCGCCTGCCATCCCTGGGGCTGGCGCTCCAGCCCAGCGGGCTCCGCTGTGTGCTGGCCACAACAGGGCCACCTTCCATAGGAACTGGACTAAGGCTACGAGCGGGCTGTGCTGCCAGGAGGTCAGGCCCTTGGGGTGGGCCTCATGGCTCATGGACACGCACAGGGCCCATGAACAGGGTCCCAAGGACAACAGTGCCTGGAAAGGGGGGCCGGGTGGCCAGGGGCGTGGTGCCGGAACACTGCGACACGCACTCGAGTGGCTGCTGACCCAGGAAGGGCGACAGGGTCGAGGCTTCAGCCATTCCTGCGACTGGGGAAGGAGGCAGCCTTGGCAGGAGACCAAGGACAGCGAAGACCGACAACCGGCGCCAAAGGGCTTCAGACAGAGCGGGGCGATCCGGTGAAGGGATGTGCTACACGAAGAACAAGCCCAGGAGAGCAGCCGGACACTAAAAGGCAGTGACACAATGAGGCAGAAGTGGCAAGAACTGGGTAGATACGGCTTTGTTTGGAAGGGGCCACTGTCGTGTGCGGGCAGAGTGACATGGGAAGCACAGAGGCTCTTGTGTCCTCTGAGGTCCCCTAGGGCACAGCAGGGCAAGTGCCAGGGCTGCCGTGAGAGCTGCCTGCCACCTCCCCGGGGCAGCCCTCCTCTGCTGCTTGTAACTAAGGACAGGGACCTCAGAGCCTGGCACAGCGTGGTCAGCGAGAAGAGTCCCTGTCCAGACGAGATGCAGAATAGAAAGGAGCCACAGGAGCAGAGAGAAGCAAGCGGCCCCTTCCTGGAAGCACCATGGCGCAGCACAGCCCCTGCCGTCCCTCCGCAGCCAGCAGACAAGGGTCACGTTAGACTGGTGGGCACTGACCGGGGAGGAGGACTCCAGGGCAAACAGGAGCTCGCCCACTCCCTCAAGAGCTGGCTCAGCTCAGAGCCACGGCCCAAAGGAGGGGACAGTGACTGGGGCAGCTGCAGGGGAAGGAAAGGGGCAGACAAGACTGCAGGATGACAGCTGGAGAGGTCTCGAGGCCGCAAGGTGGTTCCCTGGGCACAGCCCAGCCACACAGCCCCAGAGAGACACGGGCTGCTCCAGCAGGCGCCGCAGAGCCTCCTTGCCTTAGTAACCGGGACAGGGCCCAAGGACGGCGCCTGTCTGAGGAAGCCCTGGGGGCCTGGCTGCTGTGGGGGTCCTGCCCCCAGGGACAGGGCCAGCATCTGCAGATGTGGACTGCCCCAGCCAGGAGGGCGCTGCTGGCATCCTGTGGGGAGCAGCCAGAAGCTGCCAAACCTGCCGTGCATAGCAGGCCACCAAGGAGGAGTGGCCCTTCTCATGGCAGGGGCCACCCAGGTCCTCAGGAGGCGTCTCAAGGGCAGCAAGATCCAAGTGACCTGCTGCTGCCACAAAGGCCCGGGAGTCGGAGCCGCTCCCTGAAACTGGCAGCGGGGCGTGGCAGGTGACCACTGACCACCCAGGGTGGGAATGGACACTTGGCCCACACGGTGGAGCTCGGGCCCCGGGCACACCCTACATGTGCACACAGCCAGGCAGCTCATGCTCAGGAAGCAAAGCTACTCCGGGACAAGAGGACAGGACCTGGCCGGAGGTGGTGCAGACAGGGAAACCAGAACCAACCCAGATCTGTACACTGAGTTTCCACGGCACCGCGCGGGTCCCTGTCTCCCAGCTCTCCCACGCTCCAGGCTCCCCGTGCCAGGGCCCGGCCGAGGCAGAGACGGCCGCACTCAACAGCCCAGCTGGAGATGAGTGCCGCCCGCGGCCGGCCTGCACAGGAACTGACCTCGTCGTAGCGGTACATGAGCTTCAGCCCGCGGCAGGACTTCTGCTTCTCCACATGGCGCAGGGCACACTCCAGGCAGAACACGACATTCTCGTTCTCCTGCACCACCTGCGGGGGAGGGCATGGCTGAACCTGGGCTCAGGGACAGGGGTGCCCTGCGGACCAGGCAGGGCTGCCCCACCCAACACTGCCCACACGGAGGGGCCGGTGACTCGCAAGCACTGGAAGTGGACTGAGACACCGAGCAGACCAAGAGGCCCAAGCAGGTCTCACCCCTCCATGGGGCGTGCGCCCGTGCCCTGCCACGCGAGGCCACGGGGTGTGTGGGAGAGCAGGACGAGGGGACAGCAGCTTCCAGGCCCAGCTCTGCCCAACAGGGCCAAGAGACAAACCAGAGGCCCACAAGGGGCGGCAGGATTCCCATTCCTGTCTCCCACTTCCGGTGCCTGACTAATCACTCATGAGAGGACAAATGGTATCCTGACGTCGAGGTGCAAAAGGGTCATGGGCACTTCTGAAAAGGAGGGGAAGACCTGAGCTTTGCGTCCCAGTGTTTCTTAGCAAAGGACAGAACAAGCTGCGAGAGCAAGGAAATGATGCTGACGGAAGCACACCAGCTTTTAGACCCTGCGGGCTGAGGACAGGAATAGGAAACAACAAAAGTGCACAAACACATGAGTAAACTAGGCCATGCATACTGGAAACAGGTAGAAAAGAAATGCCAGGTGACAACTCTGAAAGCAAAACCCCACCCTCGGCAGGCCCAGGAACCCACAGGAATGGCCTGTGTCACCTGTACGGTCACCAGAGAGCCACTGAGGCAGAGACAGGCAGACAGTGCTGCAGCTCTGAGGAGAGAAGCTGATGCCTCTGGAGACGTGCTAACAGTTACTTTTTTCCTATTAATGACAGTGTCACTCCGGATAGTGACTTTACAATGTGAGGAAAGAAAAACATGAGAGAGGAAGACATACAAAATGAGCCATGTGCTTGCTGTGCACTGAACTCGGCCCTCATGCCCAGCACCTCAAGCTAGTGCACTGGCGGGGGCCTTGAAAGAGGCTCTCAGGGGATCCCAGGCCCTCTCTGCCTGCTGTCCATGTGAGCAGATAGGGGACACGGTAAGCAAGTGAGGACACCCCAAGAAGGGGCCTCTGCAGCCAAGGAGAAGGGGCTGGAAGAAACTGCGGAGAGCCCCTGGAGCCCCAGGCTGTGGGTTCTGTCGTGGCTCTCCATTCACTTCTTTGACCATTTCTGGACCTTTCAAATGTCCCAAAGAGCCATGCCCAGGCCCCGAGGGAGGTAAGTCTCAGCCTGGCACAGGCACAGTGAGCCCGAGTCTCAGAGGCGAGTGAGGGGCTGGGGTTGAGGAGGACAGAGCAGAAGGTGCGGGTGGCCCTAGGGAGGCCGAGGAGGGCTGGGTGTGGGAGGGAGCAGCGTCTGCATGGCCAGGGCCAGCCCTCTATCGCAGAGCCAGGAGGAGGAGGAAGCAGCAGAAACCACAGCGAGATGAGGGCATGGGCGGCCGTGGGCGAGGCTGCAATGCAACTAGGACCAGAGCGGGGCCCCGAGGCACCAGGGTGACCTAGAAAGAGCCAGGTTTGGTCCTCGGGGGCCAAGCAAGAAACTGCCAGGACAGAGTCGATTCTTGGGTGGGAGGGAGGCCGGGCAGGGGCCCACGCTCACCATGGACAGGTAGCACAGGTGCTGGCAGATCTGACACCGCCTCTCCGATGTCTCCAGCTGCAGCCACTTTCGAGGCTTTTTTTTCCCATCTGCGGCCGCACTGCTGCCGTCGTGGCTGCCTGCCGTATCGCGCGGACAAGTGGAGGCCAGCCTCGAACAGCTGCCTGCGCTGCCGCAGCTCCGTATCCCTGCGGACACACGGCGCCTCAGACACAGCAGGGGCCGGCTGCCCTGCCACGCCCCGGCTGGGGACCAGGATGGTCAGCCATGGTCAGACAGCCCCGGCTGGACGCTGCGACACTCGGCAGGGCACGTTAAGGCCATGGATGGTTCTGCCTTTGTGCCACAGCATTACACTTGAGCCGTCTTGCTGTCATCACCAGCACTGCCCGGAGCCTGTCCTTGGTGGGAGGGACCTTGGGGCTGTGTGGTGGGGACAAAGAGGGTCCCAGGGGAGCCAGCAGGGCGTTGCTCCCCCCATCACCACTGAGGGAAGGCAGCTGGGCCAGGCCTGAGTCAGGGCAACGAGCCAGCCCCACCCTGGTGTCTGGAGCAGTGAGGCACCCGAGCTGCCCTTTTCCAGCTCCCAGGATGCAGAGCCAGGGGTCCTAGCCCACCTTCCGTCCACTCCTAAAAGGGGGACTTACACTGATTTTATTTTTTTAGTACTGAAGACTGAACCCACACTTCCAGCCCTTTGTTGAGACAGGGTCTCCAAATGTCGCTAAATTGCCCAGGCTGGGCTTAAACTTGCAATCTTCCTCCCTCAGCCTCTCCTCACTTCAGTGCTAGGATTCCAAGCATGCAGCACCCACCGAACCAGCTGGGATTAACACTGTATCAGCTCATGGGCGGTTCCAACTCCCTCACCCAGGAGGACAAAAAAGTCACGTTCAACGTAAGACCTGGGGGCCTGGGGGACGCGGCTCCCACCCACTGCTCCGTGACAGCCCCAGCATGGAAGGGAGGCGGGTGGGCAGCACCTGAGCTCGTCCAGAAGGGCGGAGATGGTGCTGAGAGTGGGCCCGTTCTCCTTCTTCGCCTCTGCCTGTGCGATCTGGTAGAGCAGCTTCTCCATGGAGAACGGCTTGGCTATGTGGCGCCGCTTCATTTCCTGAAACACGGGGCACAGCCTTCAGGCTTGGTTTGCGTTAGGAAGCTGCTGTCATGATTCTTGGTGGAAGGGCAGGCAGGCTGCCTACATTTCTACAATTTTAATTGCGTTTGCACTAAAGCCATTGAAAATCATAGGATTCTGCTTACCTGGAGAACAGCGGACACTAGGAGAAGCCCCAGCACCTCGCCGCCAGCCCCAAGGCAGCTGCACAACTTTACAGTGAGCAGAGCTCATCACACTCACCCCAAGTTTCCCTCCCAAAGCTCTGCAGGGCTCCCCAGCTTTGGAGGGATCGCTCAGTCGTGGGCATCAAAGCGCTTCAGGACAGCAACAAGCCCCGCAACCCTCCTGTCCCAGACAGACCTTCACCAGCCCATAAAGAGGTCAAAGACACCAGACCCGAGGCTGGCCCACGGCAGGCTGCCCTTGCAGGGCATCTCCGGGCATGCGTGGGAGAGGCGCGCCTGCTCACCTTGGCGGTCTCAAAGCCCATACTTGTCCACTGGGTGGTAACAAAGTGCACAGTTTCTGAGACGCTGTAGCCACAGCACACTTTGGACACGAAGGACCCCGGAAAGCAGACCACGAACTGTCCACTCTGCTGCACGGTCCGGTGCACCTTGATCCCCTCTTTGCACAGCACCTCTGGGGAGATCTGGGGGGAAAGGGCTGGCTGAGGCCCGAGCCCTGCCCCAGTGACTTCCCTGCTCACATTTCTCAGCCCCAAGCCCAGGGGAGTCCCTCCCACCTCACCTGCCAGGGCTGGGGCAGGGCACGGTCCCTGGCACAGCCAAGGGACAGCACAGACGCGACACAAGGCAGGGTCGGCATGAGCCATGGGAGCCTTGGACCCAGCTGGTCAGGACACAGCTCAAAGGAACAAGGACCCCCGGGACTCACCTGCCCCGGGATGGCCTGACCACTGATGATGAGGTCTTTGTGCTCCTCCCTGTCCAGAGCCCAGGCTCCAGGTGCCCAGGAAGGGGCAGCGGGCAGCACAGAGCCTGAGCGCCAAGCCCAGACCCCAGCCAGGGTCCCCACACATGCCAGCCTGCACATGCACAACCCACAAGCCCTGCACGGTGCAAGGGTCACCAACTCCAGGACCCCGTGGCCGTGTGATTTGATGGGAAGTCGTCAGATTGGTTTTCGTGCCACCAGCCACCAGTCCAAACCCCTGGATTCACTTGCTCTGTCCTGGCCCCAGAAGGCGGGCCAGCGAAAAGCCCCTGACCCACGCCTAGGCTCTACCATGACGTTGCTCTCCAGCATCTGCAGCCCTGGGGTGCCATTGGCCTGTAGCAGGGTGTGGACCACGTCCTCCAGCTTGTTTTCCTCCTCAGCAGGAATGCAATACCTGGGTGGAGGACAACAGGGAGGCTGCTGAGTGCCCACTGCCCACGAAGAGGCTCAGCTCAGAACAGCTGGGCCAAGGTGCCAGCGGAGGACCTGGTGCTGTCGCTGCCGGGCACCCCCACTGGACCCTGAGCTGCTGGGCTGCTTCCGTTCAGCCACAGCCTCGCTACTCGTCTTTCACATAGATGTGATGCACACACTGAGCCAGAGAGCCTCCGGCCCAAAGCCAGCTGTTCCGCGCCTGCCGTCAATGAGAACCAGGCGCCACTCCAGCCCTCCGGCCTCTCCCCCTCCAAGCACAGCCCATCTCCCTGCCAGGTCCAGGCACTGACACCCTCTTTAAAGAAGCTGTCATAGGGCTGGGGGTCCATGATGCTCATGGCAGGAACACACAGCCCCCTGAGCCCCTAGCCAGGGTGACCGGGAGAGCCTGCAGCAGCTGACAGGAAAGGCAGAAGAGCCCCGGCTTCTCCGCATCAGGGTGGGGCTGCAGCTGCTGGGAAACTGGGAAAGGGAAAGGGTACACGGGGGACTTGGGAGACTGCAGCCCTCTGTACTCGGGCAGCTGCTGTGCACAAACCCGCTGGCCAGGGCTGGGCGGTGTGACACAGGAAGGAACACACCGAGGGCCTGCGCCAGGTGTTCAGTGCCGCAGCTGGGGCTTCCTGTGGGGCAACACAAGGTACGGGAAGAATAATCCCAAACTGCCCCTCCGCCACCGTGGAGACAAGCCTCAGTGCTCCTGGTGTCCTGTTTCTAAGTCCCAAGGAGCCCACGGGTCCACAGTGCCATCCATGACATGAGACTGTGGCCGCACACGGCCAGGGTAAACAAGGGGTGCAAGGCCAGGATGCCCCCCGACCCCAGCGTGGGGACAGGGCAGCGAGACATCTGCAGGGCTCTGCCATCTACACCAAGCCCTTCCTGGGCAAGAGGACATGAGAGCGGCAATGGGTCAGGGAGAACTCAGGCTGCCAAAGCCGACCAAGCTGTTGACCAAGAATCATGGGGGCGACTGGCCACACCCCTGCCTCTCCGCAGGCCTGGCAGGACGGACAGCCACTGCCTGTGACACTTAGGTGCCAGTGACAAGAACCCCTGTGCTTTGAGGCCAGGTCCTCGTTTCGGAGGCTGAGTAAAGGCATTGGCCACATGTCTGCATTACTTCAAAGCCAACATACTCTGTTACTGATTTGTGATTTAAATACAAGTTTTCTAACATCAATCACATGCTGTAGGAAAAACCACACCCCGTAATCTCTCTGATCACATCCCTGCCTCTTCTCTCTTTTCCATCAGCAAGGCCCGAGGAAGGGACTTCAAAGAGCCCACAGAACCCTCGTTCCGCCACCTCCAACTCAGCACTCCCTCTAGAAAAGCAACCCGCACGGCCCCTTCACACCCACATCGTCAAATGAAAGGCAACTCAGGGCTCTGCCCCAGGTCTCGGCCAGCGGGGATCAGGGAGGGCCTGGCCTCGACGCCCAGTCCAGACTTCCACGGCTCAGAGACCTCACCACTTCCGCCCACCCTCAGCCTTGAGAACACAGAGCACCCCAGCTCCGTGCACACCCATCCGGGTCTCGCCCCAGCGCACATGGGACGGGACACCAACGGCCAGCCTCGTCAGCAGCTTCCACACCATCCACGACCAAACAGCAGACTGCTGTCCACGCCGGCTCAGTAAATAAATAAATAGCCAGCGTGGGAGGAACGTGACGCCAGCAGGCTATGGGAAAAGACGTCTGATTATGTGCAGTCATTTTCCATCTGCCGCTGTACACAGAGACCGCAGTGCCCAGCCATGCCGGGATGGCTGCAGCCGAGTCAGGATCACGAGGTGCCACAGGCCTGCATCGCGCCACGGCTGCACCAAGCGGGACGTGGAATGGAGGACACGGACACGGGCACGGCAGGAGCCATGCTGCCTGGAGGTACTCACCAAATGCAGTCAGCACCAGTGTGTAAGTAGTCAATGTACGGAAGGTGATTTTGGTCTCGAGACCAGCCTGAGGTAGAAAGGACCATGCCAATATTCAGCCAGGGAATAGTCACTCCTGAAACACACAGGGGGAAGGGCATTTAAAGGCACAGCAATGTCTCCAAGTTACAGCCATTAAAAACCCACTTCTCCAGAAAAAGATTCGAAACCAGATGGGGCTCAGTGAGAAGCTGTCTGCTGCTCCCAGCTTTCTCTACAGAGATGAACCCAAGACTAAGGACACTGCTGGGCAGCAGGACGCTGACGGTGATGACCGCTGCCAGCCCTCAGTCCCCTTCATGCCGGAGGAGGCAGAGGCCTAGACCCATCCCTCTGCCTGAGGGAGGTGGGACACAGGCTTCCGGCTCAGGTCACGTGACCACGTCTTGTGACCCTTGGCTTCCCTGAAAGTCTGTGAAGCAGCGGGCTTCTACACCCATTTACAATGGCAGCCAGCAAACCAACTTCAGCTGGCGAGTCAGCTTTGAAAGCACTGCTCGGGGGTCCACGGTGGCCCCAAGCGGGCCCCCAGTTCCTGGGTCCTCTACTACAGGACACCTCCCACAGTCCCGCTGACTTCCTCAATCGCCACCTTCTTCCTCCCTTCTCTGAAAGCCAAGTTCCAGTACGCAGGCTCCCCTAGAAGCCACCTGGTCCCCTCAGGCTCTTTGGCAGGGGTCTCACGGGCTTACCAGGCACAGCACCGAGGTGTCGCAGGATGGACCCTGTGTTATTGGGGAGGACGGTGAGGTTCCATCCGTGCCTGCGGGGGAAGACAAGGGACGTCACAGGCTGGGGGCGGCGCAGAGGTCTGCTCCCCAGGACATGGACACAGGGCCCGGCGTTACCTTGAAAAGGGCTCCGATTTTCCCACCGGGAATCCGCTGCCGTGGGTGTTGGTGTCCACCTTGCCGCAGTGCACTGCCACGTGGCAGTCCTTCTCCTCCACCAACCTCCAGTACTCTTGCTGCAGGAGAGGGGAGGCCGGTGAGCACTGCCCGGGGCCTGAATCCAGCTGCAAACATCGGTGCTGTGCCTGCCTTCCCGGGGCTCTCAGCACAGCACCTCCAACAGAGCACGGACCAGAAGGGCCGGGGTCATCTCTGCTGCACACCCCAGTGACCCCAAGTGGAGACCCAGGTGTGTGGAGGCCTTGTTCACAGCAGCAACTGCTGAGATGCTAACAGCAGGAGCAGCCTGCGAGCGCGCACACCACGGGGTGTCTGTACAAGGCGGGGATTCTGACGCGGGCCGCGCCAAGATGGACCCCAGGATCTCTGCTTGATGAAATTTGCCAGTGACAAAACCTGGCACTGCAGGAGTCTGCCTGCATGGGGCAGGCAGGGTGTGGGTCACCGGGTTCTGAGGCTGGGGACACTGAATGGCTCTGGGCTGGATGCCGCTGACGTACATGGTGATGACAGACTGACAGCCACAGAACTGCGTGCTCCAGTGGTTACAAGGGCGAACATCACACGTATTGCCACATTAGACAAAAATGTGTATGGGGAAGAGGGTTGTTAGGGAAGGTAAAGACTTCCTGTGCCTTCACTGAAATGTAATAAACGCGGCCGTGGCTGCCCCACTGCACTCATGGTCCCCGCTACTGATCAGACTCAGCCTGGCAGAGAGGTCAAGAACATGTCTGGCAGAGGGAAGCAGCTGTGCCAGCCTCCCTCCCTCTGAGACAGCTCGGCGCTCAGGCGCCTGCTCGCACCGTTCACTCACAACTCCAGGACAGCATCCTCGTCCACCCTCAGTACAACACACCAGCTTGAGGCCGGGGGGCAGCTGTCCCCAATCAAGAGAGACATCAATACAGAAAGGACCGACCCTTACACAGACTTCCTGGAATGCAGGGGAGGAGCAAGGCGAGCACAGGACCCAGGAGATTGATGGGTCCCCAAACTGCCACCCATGCCCTGAGACCAAGCGCAGCCGACCTCAGTGGACCTGGTGGGGCCCAAGGGGCTCACCCACTGTGAGCAGAGACAGCCCAGCTCCAGCCTCCAGCAAAGGAAAGGCCAGGGCCACAACATAAGCAGCTAGCCAGCCCCCGGCTGAAATCTGCGTTTTAGCAAACCTTCACTTTGTTTAAATATTCACACAACTGCTAGAACAAAATCCGGACTTTCTAAGGAAATTAATTCCTAAATGGAAAACCGTATCACAAGCTCCCTCCATCATGCCCTCTGGACTGTAATAATTTGTACCTTTGGGAGACACAAGGACACAGGTGGGACAACAGAGACTCACGCTCAGCCCCAAAAGTCACCTTCCCTTCATCTGACACCACAAAGGCCACAAGGGTTCCCATGCAACCGGGATGGATCAGGACTCAGGTGACACTAGGGCTGTAGAACAAGGGCCAGTGACCCTGGTGCATGGACCACACCACAGGGCGTGGACGGATGCCAGGCCCCAGGGCACAGGGGCAAGGCAGCACGGGCCCTCAGCAGAGCTGCGTTTTCACAGGGAGGACAGCAGTGCCAAGTGTAAACAGTCAATTCCCAGACAGGAAGGCAGGCCTAGGTTCCGGGGCCAGAGGAGGGGGAATGTCAGGCAGCAGTGGAGGACCCTGTCCACAAGGGATGGAGGAACTTCTGCTTCCGGGACTCTGGACAGGAAGAGCATGCTGACCCCTTGCCCAGTGGTCAAAGCCAGCTGAGCTGTACCTGTCCCTTAAGCAGGTGACACACGTAAAGAAAAGAAGCAACAGAACACGAGGTTGCAGCCCACACCCCCTCCTGCTCCCAGTGACAACCCTCTCTCTCCAAATCCAACCTCTGCAAGCCCCTGCGTCAGCGGCTGGGGTCTCAGGACTCTGCTGGGCTCCGGCCAGGGGAGGTAAATAAAGAGCCCGCCTCTGTGCTGCAGCACCTTGCACGAAACCACCCCTAACTGGCCCAGGGGCCTCACACCAAGTCAAAGGAGAGCTGGCAGGCGCACACAAATGGCCAGCCGCCAATCTCACTGAGCACAAGGCAGCAGAGGAGAAAAGACACAACCGTAGTTTTGGGGGCTCTGTACATTCCCTGACGTCACATTCAGAGGCCGGGAGAGAAGTGCTCAGCGAGAGGTGGCATGGGGTGTCCGGGGCTCCCTCAGACTGGGCCCCTCACCTCTGAAGAGCGCTAAGCCTGGGGATCTCAGGACCTGCACTATGCCGGCCTCAGCTTCTGATACATCTAGATTAACCCCGCGGAAGTCTGTGGCTGTCACCAGGGCGCGTCACACCGGGTAGTCTTGCCTGCCTGTGTCCTTTTCCAGGTGGCCAGAGGCTGGGGCGGGGACCTGGAGGGAGGGGACTCACCTCGATTTCGGCTGGTGCAGGCTCCTTGCTGAAGCACATATTCATGATATTTCTTGCTGTTCGATAGAAAGTTGTTAGAGAAACAGACCTTCCCTGAAACAAAAGAAAAACCACAGAAAAGCAAAGCCTAAGTCACAAGCTGGGCTCTGGCCTCAAATCAGGCCTCAAATCAGGCCTCAAACCTGTCGCATGTCTGGCCTTTGTGGTCGTAACTCAAGTTGTGCCCCTACTGAACGACAAGGAGACCAGGCAGGAAAATCCCCCAGAGGAGGCACTCGGAATCCCGGGGTGTGAAACGCACAGGGGTCCTGCTCCCCTGGCCAGGGCAGGGGAGGACCAGCCTGGTCCAATTTCTGCCACCAACAGAGAGGCTGCCAAGCCCAGGATGGCAGCAATGCACAGCTGGCTCTAACAGGGAGCTCCAAGAGAGCAGGGGTGGCAGAAATCCGCAGGCGACCCACCCAGGGAAGGGAACGACAAGGACCTGGCTCAGCAGCTAGGACCAGGATGCAAGGCAGAGCAGCCGAGGGGACCGTGAGACAGCATCTGCACCTGCCAGCCCTCGCCAGGGGAAAGTGGACAAATAGGCAGCCTTCCCTGGAGCGGCAAACAGGTCACTCCTGCCACAGAGGTGCTGACGGCTTTCTCGGCCAGCTCTTACACAAAGGCCTGGCAGCCCCAGGCCCAAAGCCACAGGCCAAGGAGGCCCAGCCTGAGAACCCGACTAGGGCAGTGCCAAAGCAAAGGGTGCTCAAGTGGCAGGCACAAAAACTGAGGGTGTAAAAGACTACTAAATTTACTCCTGTTACAACACATGCACACAAACACAAACACACAGCCAAGAAAAGGAAACCCAAAGACCCAGAGAGGCACACCGGTCAGCCAGCACCCACGGGTGCAGGACACCCGAGGCCTGCATTGCCACCAGCCTCCGACACATGCAGCTTTCAGACAGAGCTGGTCGGGGTGTCTGCTACAGTGTGAGTGTACAAGATGTGGTGAATGGTTACATTAAAAACATCTTATTACAGGAAAAGACACGTTGCCAAGAATGGTGGCTTAAGTGTGCTAGAAGGGAGGGGAAGATTTCTTGGGAAGAGTAATGGCAATGTGTGTCCTTTGCTGTAATAAAGTTTTTAAAATTTAAAAATCTGTCAAATACTTTATCAAACTGGTAGATCCCCTTCCAAATGCACGTTGCAATGCAGGAGCCACTGTGGGGCTCTGAGAGAGCCCGGACTCCGCCCTCTGTGTCAGAGAGGAGTAAGAACAAGACCCCCACCCACCCCGGCACCTAGGTGTGGGACGCCCTAGCTCTGGCCCATGAGCCGAGGATTTCCACTCGCTGGGCATCTCTCACGCTGGTGCTGTCACAGCAGCTTTGCACAAAGAACTGTGGCCTAGCAGGGCAGCGCCCTCCACCACCCCGAGGTGGCTGCTCCACAGACCCTCGGGGCCCCTACCTTGTAGATGCACTTGTGGAAGTCGTTGAGGACACCTTTGTCCTCCTCCTCCTCCTTGACCACCTCCTTTTCCTGAGCGAAGAGTCGCCGCCGGCCCGTTTTGAGCGGGGCCTGGCCCACCTCCTTGAGCTTGCTGCGGAAGCCGTTGCGGGGCGCCACACCGTGGATGAGCCCGTTCTTGGGCTCGAAGCGTGGCAGCGGGTGGAACTTGTGGTGGTCGTTCTCCGTGTGGCCCTCCAGCGGCCCCTTGCGCTTCTCCAGGATCTCCTTCTCCATCAGCACCTCCTTCTCCAGCCGCCGGTGCTCCTCGGGGGACAGGGAGTCATAGGAGAGCAGGTACTGGCAGTAGGCCTCCTGCAGCTTGGCCAGACGGTCCTGGGCAGTTTTGGGGATGCGCAGCATGTCCGCTAGTTTGTTCCACTTTTTGAGGTCAGTCACTTGCTGCATGCCACCCATCTCGTTAATCAGCCGGAAAAAGCAGGCCAGGTCGAGCTCACAGCCTCCTGGACAGTGAGGGAGGGAAACGGGGTGGTGGTGAGAACAACATGACCAAGACTGACCCTGTTCGACCTGCATTTCCTGCGCACCTACTGTGTGCTGGGAACTATGCGGGCTCCCGGGCCGGAGCAGCAGGAGTGAGCTGCCAGTGCAGGGAGCTTGCTCTCCAGTGATGCTCATGGCCAAGTCCCAGGAGGCAGAGCAGGTCAGAGGACTCACACCCGCCATGGGGTGTATCAGGGAGGGCATCTGGGGGGAGGTGATGTGTCCAAGGGGAGAGACAGACGCTGTGTGAGGATGCAGGAGGAAACATCCCAGCACCCCAAGCACGGGCACCACCGTCACAGGCTGGGAGGCAGGGAGGGTCAGCTCCAATGTGGGGGGTCACACACACAGCTCCTGTGGCCTGGTCCCGACTCCCCTTCTAACACCTACTCAATCATACAAGGGTGGTTTCTCTTCCATCTAGATAGGCTCCCATGACGAAGTCCTCCTGAGTGTCTCACAGAGGCTGCTCATTTTAGATGGGTGCGCTGCACGTTTCTCACTATGCCTTGATGGAATCAGATGTACATGGAAACTCAGCCATGCTGAAATGCAAACCTCCCAACTCCACCAAAATGGAAAGTAGAAAAGCAACCTCCCCTGGAGCAAATCTTCCAAAATAACCATCAACAAAATGTTGGGTGAGCAAAGTAAAAATTAAGATCATCTTAAATCTTTGAAACAGGGGAATGCATTTCCTGTACTACAAAGGAAGGAAAGACTGAACCGATGAGGGAGGGAGGAGCAGACAGCATCAGAGGCCGGAGTGGCCTGGGGCTCTGCACACACCTGCCATCCTGTGACCCGTCCGATGGGACAGACTCAGTGAACAAGTCCCTGGCCCATCAGAAGACCAGGAGGCGGGAGAGTGCAGCCTGAATTCCACTTAATCTACCTAGTGGGTTGGGGCACTGTGGGGTGGGCTTTCACCTCAGTGAAAAACGGCCCGTAGCCCTGGACAATGGGACCCAAGGTCCAGGACTCCACGGCTCACCCGAGGCCTTGACAGTCACCTTGTGGCCAAGGCAGGTGTGTCTAGGAGTCAGGAGCTCTCCCTCTGCAGGCTGGCCACACTCGGCCCTGTGTTAGGGGACAAGGAAGTGGGCTCCCCCATGTGCCAGGCGGCTCAGCACTTGCGGGGGACGTGAGACTGGGGTGTTTCGGGAAGCCGGACATCACAGTCCACAGCACCCGAGTCATGCAGCGCCAGCAAAAACACTCTCCAGAGTCCTCCCCTGCTGCAATCACCCCGCATTCTTCCAGCCATGGGGCTGCTAGGGGACAGAGAAGCCAGGGGCCTGGGGACACACGTGGCCCACACAGGGGTAGGTAAGAGGCAGACCCACAGCAGAGGGTGCCGGGAGATCACTTCCAAGGCACCACGTCCTGTCGGCCGCTGGTCAGTTAGGGTCAGACCCTGGGGCCTGCCTGGGTCACAGGCCACTGCCCCTGACAGATTAAGAGCTGAGCACTTAGGGGTCACGCAAAGAACACACACTCACCAGTGTGGTGCTAGCTCGGCTTCTGATCCTTGCAAGGGAGTGAAGATAAAGGAAACACTGCTCCGAAAACAGTGCCTCTGGCTGCCGTTACATGTCACCTGTCCCCATGCAGTGAGTGCGCTGCCCTCCTAGCAGAGAACGTGAGCGCTTCCCTCCATCTGCAGGCCCCACTCCAGGCAGGAGGACTCTGTGGTCCACTTGTCATCCCTTAGTCACCTGGGGCCTGGGTGCTCGTGAAGTCTGTCAATGGACACGAATCCCTGTGCCCATCTGTCTTGTGACTTCCATGACAGCAGACCACAATCAAGAGTTCAAATCAGGTGACACGGACTCGGGCACGTTCCCTGCAGACATCTGCTGAGAGGAGTAACAAGGCCTCCCTGCCACTCCTGACATGGGGACGTCCTGTTCCATCCTGGCCTAGGGCTGAAGGGAACACTTCGAGCTGTCCCAATAAGCCACTGAGCCTTCACTAAAGTCCATCCCGAATGCACAAGGACAGGACAGGAAGGGGACGGAGGGCTGATGGCAGCAGAGGTCTGCGGCTCTGCCCAGGATGCCTGGGAGGACAACAGCTGTCCCGCAAGGTCACTCCAAGCTCCGCCAGAGGAGCCCGGAGAGGGTCCCACCCGGCACCCACCTGCTCCCTCTGTGAGGAAAGGTGAACACGCCCAGCGGGGCGCTAAAGAAACTGAAACTGCCGGGAAGTGGCAGGGGAGGCTGAGAGGGATGATAAAGCAGCCTCTGAGGTTTGTGGGGTGAACCATGAAACCCTCCAAATTAAGATGCTTTACAGCCTCAGAGTGCGGTGGAATTTAGGAGCCGCGTCTTTAAGGCAGTGACTAGGTTACAAATACGTTCACTGTGGTGGCCTTCGTCCAGTCCCACTGGTGTCCTTGTAAGAGGAGATCAGGACAGATACGCAGAGAGAAGTCTACACCACACACGGCAAGATGATAGCCGGGGAGAGGCCTGGGCACAAAGCGCCCTGCCAACACCCTGGCCCTGGCCCTGGCGCTCCCACAGCTGTGGGGAGCCACATTTCTGGTGCTGCTGCCGGCCTGCGTGTGCCAGGACACGGTCAGCACCAAGGGTGACTCAGACGGCTGGCGCTGCTCTGGCTTCCCAGGACCTGCTCCAAGTCCGCCAGGAGAGCCTGGGGTCTCCAGTGTGTGGTGGGAGCCACCAATACCAATGGTCTTCCCTCACAAACGCCGAGTCTGCGGGCTGGGACGTCGCCTGTCCCCAAGGCCCCCAGAGAAGACCCGCCTGCTGGGGCCAGGAGCGCCGGTGAGAGAGGCTTACCGATGAGCGGGAGCTCGTCCATGGTGATGCCCTGAGATCTGAGGTGCTTCTTGATGCAGGCCAGCCGCTGCACGTTGGGGCCCCAGCGCCGGCCCAGCTTGTGGATCTGCTGAATCTGCGTGACGAACCGCATCTCGTCATTGAGCTTGCACTCGGGCCGCCAGTCCGGAGGGGGGATCACCCTGCACATCCCGTACTTCTCCACCTGAGCGCGGACCGACTTGATGTAGATAAGCGGGTCGTGGAGCTCCTTGGCGGAGGGCCTGAGGACAGGGATCTCGTCCATCGCCTCCCGCCCGGACCTGCCGCCCCCCTTCTCTGGCCTGCCCGGAGGCAGCGGCGGCGGCGGGTCGTGCGGCTTGTTGTGCAAGGGCTCGGGTTGCGAGGTAGAACGATTTCCACAGGGGGCGCTGTCCGGCTTGCCATGTGCTTGTCTGCCTGGCGTGCTCTTGCCGGCCGTGGCCCGCTTCGGCCGGCTCCTGTCCCAACTCCGCTCGGGCACTTCCTTCTTCACCTGTCCGTTCAGCAGGGGCTTCTCTGCTGAGGCTGCCGCCGCCGCCGCCGTTTTGCTGGGTGCTTCGGCAGGCCCCGCGGCCCCCTTCATCTTCTTGGGGGGCGACTGCAGCTTCTCCCCCTGGTGTGCCTCTTCCAGTCTCCGCTTGGAATTCCGCAGCCCCTCCCTCAGCTGCCGCCCCCCCACCTCCTTAGTGCATGACTGGGTTCAACCTGCCGCTGACCTTGAGGCCGCTGGCTGCAGGCCCGGTGGACTTGGACGGCCCCCCGAGGGATAGCACCTGTTTGCGGGTTTTTGCATTGCTACTTTCAGTTTTCCCTGAGATTGTGTGGTTGACAGCTGAACTGGGCTTGTGGTGATTGGGTTTGCTTTCCTTGACCAGTTCTCTCTTGGCTTTGGTGTATGTAACAGTCCCCTTGGTCACCGTGGCAGTGTACTTCACAGTTTTGGATGGTGAAGGTCTGACTTCGCGTATCTTTTTGGCACTGGCTGCACCTGCACCCAGAGATGACATCCGTGTGACTCCGTTTACCCTAGAAACCTGTGGAGGTGGTGGAAGCAGAGGGGAAAGCAGAGTTAGTGCCTGTGCCGGGCCAGCGAACACCCACGGAAGGAAAGGGGCTCGGTGCTGTGACAACAGAAGCCCTCGAGCCTGGCGCCCTCCTTCCTAAGGAGAGGCGCCTCGGGACACTCGCCCAGCACAGCGGGAGACATGCGGAGGGCCACACCCATCTCTGCGTGGAGCCACACAGCCCGGCCCGGCTCCCCCGGAGCTTCCTGGGGTTCCGGAGAGTTCCGGGTGCCCTGCACAGGGGTCGCCCACAGACCTCGCGTCATCCGTTTATAAACAGGCAGATCCCGCCCACGGGGGGAAACCGGGATGTATTTATACATTTTGAAATAAATACATATCCCCATTCCAAGAAAAGTCTGTTTGCTATTCTGTGTGCTCCACATAACAGCATGACCAGCCCACAGAATTGACAAAGCAACATGGCTAAAAAAAGAACAAAACAAACATAGTCTGGGAGGGAAACAACAGTGCCTGTGTGGTTTGGCTCTGATCCACAGGCCAGGCCCAGAGGTGTGGCTGCAAACTGTCAACGGCCACCCAGCGGCTGTCACGCTATCACGGGCAGAACCTGGGTGTAAGGACACCTTCCGGGGACGCAGTGCAGCCCCATCCTCTTCTGTATGTGCGCACGGCTCCCGAGTTCTCACCCTTGACAACTCCCACTCGGGTCCACACAAACTGGGAGAGCACAGGCAGTGTAGGCACCGGGCAGCTCTGACACAGGTTGCCTCATTCATATGGAGCTTCCGGCGGGACACAAGGGCTCCCAACACAAGGGGCTGCTGTGGGAAGCTTTGCACCCCAGTTCTGTGTTACAACAGAGTGACTCTGACATGTCACTCAGCCTCGTGGGCATCACCCTCCCTCTACAGCACGACTGAAATCACGATGGTCAGAACCACCGCCCCCACCAAAAGAGGCAGCCTAAAAACACGCGGTTACTGGGAGACACGGGGCAGAGACCGTGCTGCTCTCCCCTGGGAACCTGGAGAGGATGGGGCTGGGGCGGGACCCTGTACCCCCTGCTCAGCTCTTGTCAGCACCGGTGCCCCAGGTGGCTGTGCATTCTGCCCTCGCCACCAGGACGCCAGTTACCAAGCGACGGGGCCTGTGTCTTAGTGACCTGCGACTCAGCCCGTGCAGGACTGGGCCCTTGAATATGCACAACCAGTTTAAATGAGGGTGGAAGGTGGGCATCACACTTTCCAGTGCCCACTCTGGGGGCTCAAGAGTCCCATGGAGGGTCTGTCCTGCAGGTCCTGCACAGTGTGGTAAGGACCAGAAGGTTTAAAAAAAAAAGGAAGGATGTCAGGAACACCTGAATTTCTGTATATGCCCCACATTACATGTAGCCCAACCGCCAAGCCGCTCAGCTATCCTACCTTCCGGAGGGGCCGAGAAGCAAAGCTCTGGCATCACATTTTGAAGAAAGAAGGGCTGACAGACTGGGTGGAGGGCACCATTGCAACAAACTTACAAAGCCAAGCAGGGGTAAGGGGAGAAAGATTTCTGTGTCAGGAGCACTACTGTGGAATAGGGTGGGGTAAGGAACACACTCCTCTCACGTTTCACTGATCTGTCAAAGGATTTTACTGCCAAAAGGAAAAAAGATAAAACAGAGAAAGAAAAGTAAAGTAGAGCTGGCTTTCGCTGGCCTGCATTTCCAGCGTCAGACACCATGAGAAGGGCAGGTGCCCGGGGACCTCAGGTACCCAGATCTCAGAAGGACTCCACGTTCCTGACATGAGGACAACCCCACACCCCATCTCTGAACCATGCAGTGGGCAGGTGACTGTGCAACCCCGATTCGGACTGCGCCGGCAGCCACCCTCATCCTGTGGACCAAGAGCTGTCCGCCACTGCACAGTGACTCCCTCCAGGAGGGTCCAGCCGTTTGTCCTGCTGGGGTTCCCTTCCATACTTCTCAAACCTGGGGCCTATGAAACCCTTGGGAGAGCTTCTACACCTACCCACAGATTCCGATTTAATCCTCGTGGGCAGAGAAAGGGAATCTGTACTCCAGACCCCCCTGGATAGCTCAGAGCTCCCCAAAACAGATGGGCCGTACCCTTCCCTCCGCCTCTGTGCGGCTTCCAGGAGGTGGGGCTGGCTGAGGAGCAGAGGCTCGACATCTCTCCTGTTCCACCTCCAGCAAGGGTGCAGACCAATGGGCTATCACACTGGGTTCTCAGCGCCACCAAGCTCCAGGCCAGCTATGTCACAGGGTGGGCAACACTCCACATGGTGGGCTCCTACTTCAGTACATCACCATCTTCGGTAAAGCCACATACAAGGCGACTGACTGCCAAGAGAGGCACTGGACTAAGTTGCTCCACCATAAAAATTGAGTTACTTTGCTCCTTCTCTTCCTTGCTGTTTAATGGCTATCTTCAAAAGTATCCTTCCACTCAGACATCGTCACATAAGTCCATAAAACAGGCACGGAGACTACATGCATCTCCATCACAACCCAGAACAATGACTCGTACAGAGGAAGACACTGAGAAGGTTAAACACAGCATATGTCACTGTTGTGGATTAGCTCTGGACTGTGTGCCCAAGCCTCGAGCTCAGAGGTGGGGACTGTGCATCACGGCACACTATACAAATCAGAGGACTAATCCCCCGCGAGTCCAGACCTGAATGTGCTGTTAGGCGCTGGGTCCTGGATAAAGGAGGTGGGTCACCCCGAGTGTGGCCCGGAAGGGTGTAATCCTGTCCTTGGCACCTTCCCTGCTCTCTGTCCTCCTGACTGCCATGGGCCAAGCAGCTTTCCTCTGCCAGGCCCACCCACCTGCCCTGGAGCCAGGCGACCATGGAATAAACTCTGAGGCCATGAGCCAAATAAATCCCTCCTCCTTTAAGCTGTGTGAGGCAGGTATCTGGTCCCGGTGATGGCAGAGCTGACTGATGGAGTCACTGACCATATTTCCTTTCTCCCCTAACTCTGCCCAGGCAGAGTGCCTGTGTGACACCTTGCTGCAGAAGGCCAACAAGCAAACACAGGAATCAATCTGCCCCACAGACTCTGGCACTCAGCAACAACCTGGCCAGGTTCACGACTGCTGCAAAACCTGGGCCCCTTCCCAGAACACAAAGACACCCACTGCTTCCTCAGCCCTTGCTGTCTACAGAGAGCCAATGCCTTGCAGGTACCAAAGAAGCCAAAGGGATAAGGGAAGGAACTGTCTCACCTTGCCTTTGCCTCCAATCTACTCTTACCTTGGTCAGCAAAGTCCCATTGACTTTAGGTTTCGGTTTCACAGATGTCCTGGTCACAGGCCCAGCATAGTGCAAGGGGCGTCAGTGCAGTGTCAGAGCATGTCTGTGTAAGAGCACAACACAAAAGCTCTCCTGGATTCACTGGTGGGAACAGCACAGGGTGACCCACAGCAGGCTCCTCCGATCACAATTACAACACCTCATCGAAACAGCTTCCTGAGCTGGATGTAGTGGTGCAAGCCTATGATCCCAGCATTCGAGAGGCTGAGGATTGCCATGAGTTCGAAGCCAGCCTAGGCTACCTGGTAAGTTCAAGGGCAGCCTGGACTACATAGCAAGACCCTGTCTCAAAAACACAAAAAAAGCTTCCTATGTCTCAGCTGCAATGTGGATTCTACCCCCAAGCCCACCACCCCCAGCTCTACAGAAAGCGAAGTGTTAGAAGCGTGTCCTTCATGACCCACAGGCGATCTCAGGCAATCCAGGCACACAACCATGAGGTTTGAGAGCAACAGTAAAATTTCAATTTAACAGGCAGCTGAATTCTCAAGTTATACTCAGCTGGCCTAGGACTTTAGTCTCAAAGAAAAATAAATTTTTCTTGCAGAAGGGATGTAATGTAAGGTGAGGAAGATGAAAGCCCAGGACATCAAGTATTTCTATTTCTTAGCAGAATTCCACTTTGAGAACTGCACAGTCTACACTGCTTATATGCATGTAAGATATTAAATCCCCCCATCCTTAGTGTTTTACTCCACAGAAAAAATGCTTAAACCAACTCATTAGAATGACAAGTGAACAGGAAAAACATGCATTTCCAAGGCAGAAGAGAAGATGAGAAATGAGTTTACAGTATTTTTAATTAACTAAAATAACAATTTTAGGTGACCAACATCGTCCTCAGTTCAACCGAGGACTCTGTTGTGAAGCTTTTAAACCCCACTAGAGGGAGCCATTGAGCCAGAGACCTGGGCCACCCTGTCAAAGGGGTGGAGAGAGGGGCGGGGCGCTCCAGGGAAAACAGCTGTAGGCTGCCGGAGCCATTTGGACTTTAAAGCTCCAGTTAAAAACCAAAGAGCCTAAACAGAACAGAACTACACTGGATAGGCAGTGAGGTATGGACAGGAAGGACAGCTGCTGACAGCGCCCACAGCAGCAAGGCAAGCATAACGGTCTGAAGAAATCCCCGGATGTGCTTCCAGCAAAGGCGACCTGCCCGCCTCAGAAATTCGCACACCAGGTGTCAGAGGGTCCCTGCAGCACAGTCCTGGGAGAAGCAGAATAAGACCTCTACACACACTTGAATTTCACTTTCCAGAGCTTGTTCCCAATTCCATTTTCTTCCATTCATGTTCCCAACTCTCAGGGTTACTCTGGAACTCATGGACAGTTTCACAGGAAACCTCTTCCTATAACCGTGCAAGGTGGTCCGGCCCGCAAGAGCATGCAGTGGGTGCCCGGGCAACCTGCTCACTTTCTCTTCCGAACACCTCAGCCTTAGTGAGGAAGTGAGAGCCATGGCAACCAAGTTCAGCACAGCCTAAGAGTCCACGCTGGCTTTCGGACTACACCAACATCCACAGCAACAAAAACTCGTCCTGGAAAACTACTACTGACCCCAACCCTGACCCTTGCAAGGGATAAGCTCCTTTGTTTGGCAATTCTAAACTGGTCAGTGCCTGTTAGTGCCTTTAAACAGGGCATTCTTTTAGGAAAACCAAAGGTGTTAGATGCCTACCATACATCCAAATTATTGACATCTCGGGGCTCGTGGTGGGCAGGCGTGTACACTGGATGACGCAGACAGCTCGCCAAGTACCACAGACACAAGAGCAGGCCAGGGACCCCCAACCCTGAGAGAAAGGCCTGTGTGGGGTGCATAATTCGTGTGCTCCAAGTCTCGGAGCTCGGGCTGCAGAAGCCTGAGCAGCATCACACAGCCCTGCTCACAGGGTGAGGGGAGCTATTTTGGTGAGACCGAGAGTGAGCTGTAAGCACAAAGTGAGGCAGAGCAGGCAGGGCACAATTACTCCCCTTATAAAGCCCTATCCTCCCTGCTACCCACCTGCATTTCCTGCAATCACTTTCCCTTCCCTTTCAGGCAGACCAAAAATCCCATCTGAAATTAAAGATCAGAGCACCCTTTGGGCCTGTATCTTTTACTCAGTTGCACAGATGAAAGGTCAGAGTCTGATAATTTACATCAAGAACTCACAAAAGGATCTACAATTTGCTTTTATTGACCTTATTTTCAGAGTACTTAACTAACAAGATCTGATGGCTTCAAAATTATCCTTTCATTTCTCACAATGTCCCTGGGAGAGGAGCTGGCAGGATTGACTCTGGATGAACAATGGGGCCCAGGAAGGTAAAATCTCAAACCCTGAGTCTCGGGGAAGGTCAGAGTGGAGCAAAATTACAAGGGGGAGCCCCAGGTCATCCCACCCAGGCTGAACAGGCCCAGGGAGGGACAGATGACAAGAACGGGTCCCTTCTGCATCTTCAGGGTCACTTCTTCTGCCCCCATCAGGGATGCGAGCCAAAACTTGCACAGCTACTCCATGGGGTCAGGCACGGTCCTGTAAGGGGTGCCCCAGGATCTGCCCGCCACCTCTGAGGCCGTAAGTGAACAGGTCACTGGTACATGACAAGGAGCAGGGGCAGTGCCATCCCAGGGCAGGCAGAGCTCACTGCCCCAACTTTGTCCAGTATGCTGATTCCTCCCACCTAGGTACAAAGGGAAGTGCTGAGTGCTGAGCTGTGTGGAAGAAAAGGAACACTGAGCACAAGGGGAGTCTGGATCTCAGTCACACAGGCATCCCTTGCTCAGGCCCCACGGGCTCCTCACTCCTGCCCCAGGATCCACCCCACTTTTCAGTGCTGCCATGGCATCTCCTGGTCTAGTGGTAGAAGTTCTCCAGGGCATCTCTTATACTTTTGCTCCCATAATAGCACAGTTGAGGCTGAGGCAGGAGGATTCCACGTTGGGGCCAGCCTGGGGAACCTAGGAGACCCTGTCTCAAATGTTGAACCAGGGGGGTGGAGATATAACTCAATGTAAGGGCTCTGAGTTCATAGTGGGAGGAGCGGTCTTAGGAAATGGACAGGATGAGGCTGTGCTTAAAAACAGTGTCATCATCTGTTCCGCTCTGCCTCTCTGGGTCCTTTTAACACTGCTCTGTTTCACAAGCATAGTCACTTGGAGGCGAGTTTTGCCCCAGTCCCGGTCAGGCCAAGAACAGTGGCAGTGGGCTGATGCGGATGCATCACACACCCAGAGCCAAAGGGCATGCGCTCCCAAGCTGCCTCGGAAAGCCGAGCCAGGGCCAGTTCCACAATCAGTCCCGGTGGGCATCTCTGGGAAACAGTGAGGTTTGTATTTGAGGAGCCACGAACACCATCTGAATCGTGATAAAATCACAGGCTGAGACTCTAGTAACGCTGTGGAAGACAATGGCATGGGCATCTGCAGAGCAGAAACATTCCTGCTTCGATCATCCCAACTGAGTACCTGGGAAGTCAAGGTTATGGCAACCAACCCAGGAGTGCGCACACACCTGTCTGGGTGTGAACATATCCGTATCCACACTCCGGTTGCCAAGACCACAGGGGAAGAACACTTGGACCCCAGGGTGGATTCCAGCATTTCCCCACGACACTCACCACTCCGAGTCCCTCTGAACTACTCCCACCTCAGAGGGAAGCCTCTTTGTCCCCTCCCACCTCACTGAGGAGACCACAGTCTCCAGTCTGTTCTGGGGAAAACAAACTCTGCCAAAATACTGGGTGAGGGGAGCTCACCAGCGATCCCACTGACTCACTGGACCCTGTGGAGGACTGCGGACAGGAGCACAAGGGGTCTCCATCTGTCCTGCAACAGCCCTTTCCCTGTGTGCCTCCCACCTGCACCAAAGTCTCCACCGCCTACCTCCCGAGCCAGGGACACGGGCACCCTCACCGCACGGGCCCCAAGAGCAGTGCATCTCGGGGGACTGGGCAGTCACGGGCAGCCAGCCTCTCCCATGCGCCTCTTGAGAAACACACGCAGGCCACGCCCCAGCCCATGTACCCAGCACGGAGGGGCTGGTGCCCACCATGGCTTCTGTTCACTCGACCTCAGTCCTCCCAGGCAGACTCCGCCACCTGCAGAGCCACTGCACAGCCCAAGCCAGTCACGGCGACCACTCAGAGCTTTCACTGATACAGACATACTGCCGCGGCACGCGTGCCATAGGTCACCACCACTGGTCTAACCTCCGTCCATTACCTGGATCCCGTGGCAGGCAGGGCAGGAAAGGGACAATGAAGGAATCCAGCTCTGTTTCTACCTTCCCGTCAGAGGACAACTGGGACTCCTGCTGAGCACAGGGCACCAAGGCAGGGATACAAAGCCGAAAGCGCCAGGCTGCGACGTCTTCACAGCGCCGGGGCATCTCTGTGCCGAGCCAACTCTCCCTGCAGCGGGCCCTATGCTGAGCTCCCTGGGGCTGCCGAGTGCGGCAGCCGGGGCTGGGCGTTACCTGCTTCCGGAAGTCCTGAGCCGACCGATGCACAGGGGGCGGGTGGTAGTTGGCAGCGAGCCCCTTGGCCGAGGAGACCGAGGAGGGGGCTGCCGAGGGCTGGGTGGCAGAGGCCTGCTCCCTCCGGCTATCAGCCCTGTGATCGCTGTGCTTCTCCTTCGCAGGAGTGGCCTCTTTGCTTTTGTGTTTCTGAACAGGTTCTTTCTCCCGTGTTGACCTGCTGGAGCCATTGAAAACTGGAAAAGGAGGAGGAGAAGAGTGAGGTTATCACCTTGAGCAGACAACCACTGCCTCATGTCAGCCTCTGCTTCCTGAAGTGTCCAGCACGGAGACTTCTCAAGAGAGAGGACCAAGCCAGGCATGGCGGACGCACATCTGTAATCCCAGCACTCAGGAGGCTAAGGCAGGAGGATGGCTGCGAGTTCAAGGCCAGCCTGCACAACACAGCAAGACCTTGTCTTAAAAAATGCCCCCAAAAAGAGAGAACCAGCATCCAAACATAGGTGACAGTGACAATAGTAAGCATGTGACAAAATTCTAATAAAAAATCCTACATGAGATAAGAGACCAATGTCAACAGGAACCAAAATGGAGAAAGGGGATTGGAAGGTAGACAGGCAGGCCAATTTAAAAAAGAAGCCTTATTACTGTCGACGTGTCCACTCCCTGAGATGACTGTAAACTGCATGTATGGCAAACATGTATTTTAAAAAAAGACAAAATCCTACAAATGCCCTAAGAATTATTTGCTTCAGCTGAAACAATGGAAAAATTCATTTGTAAAAACAATCCTATAGCTGGGTGTGGTGGCACATGCCTGTAATTCCAGGACTCAGGAGGCCAAGGCAGGATTGCCACAAGTTCAAGGCCAGCCTGGGCCACATGGCAAGACCCTATCTCCAGAAAATGAAAAATAAAATTTACGCCACCTGCCTCGCAAGCACAAGGTCCCGAGTTCAATCCCGGGTACCAAAAAATTAAAAAATAAAAAAATTTTAAAAATTAAATAAAAAAGAAAAAGAAAATTTAAAAATCCTTACACCTAAGGCTGGGGATGTAGCACACTGGCAGAGTGCTTGCTTGGCAAGCATGAGGCCCTGGATTTAATCCCTAGTCATGGGAGGAGAGGGTCCCCCTTACATAAATCCCCAGCATCCCAGGGAGTATCAACACTGAACCCTAAGAAAGAGAAAATAAGCTTGAAGGGAAAACTACAAATATTGTACAGTAGTATCTCGGTTCACAAACGTAATTCTTTCCATGATTCTGGTTGCAAACCAAGTTGGACAAGAACTGAATCAAATTCAGTGGTTAGGTTCAGTGTTGACCTTATGGGGAAATTTGATTCGGTTCTTGTCCAGTTCGGTTTACAACCAGAATTGTGCAGAGAATTGAGTTTGTGCACCGTGGGACCACTGTACTCTTTGATAAACCCTACCTCGCCTACCACACATGCTGGCTTAGCAACCTACTAATGCTGGGCTGATGGGGAGCTGCAGAGAAATTAGACCACATATTGCAAGCCTGGGACAAGATTAAAACTCAAATACACTTTCCACAAAACATGTAAAGCTTCCATAACTTTGTAAAATCCAGAAATCCAGGTCAAGCCACTGAGGTCATGGACTACCTGCAGTCACATCCCAAGGACAGGACACCAGAAGCACAAACAGGAGATGTGGAAACAAAAGGCTCCCACTCAGATTTAAGGGCATGCCAGGGGCGGGCGCAGCTCAGCGGCACAGAGCTTGCTTAGCAAGAGTCTGGCTCCACAGAGGGTATGCCCAGAGAGTCCAGGATGCAGCAGCTCCCCACGACCACCAGCCCCCCGAGAAGGAAGACGGCAGCACTTCCAGCCAGCCCCGTTTCCAGCCCCATTCACACTCGGGGCTTGTCAGGAGCCAGGTGAGCTGTGCGCAAGCTGGATGCATTTAGGGTTTGCATCCTCAGAACACCACC